CACCATAATCAACCAAATAAACATAAACATTTGTATATTCTACCGCAAAAGTATACTTTAACCAAGTCTAAAAGTACAACTACCAAACTAACATCAAATTTTGCAAATTAAACCAAAATAACAATCAAGTTACAAATAAGTCAATATCTCCTTGTTGAACCCAACAAAGCCAAAACATGTTTAATAAACTTAATCCAAAAACTTGAAAGTTAATAAGAAAAAGGATTCTACAAACTTGAGACCAGTGAAAGTAATAGTGAAACTGTGCAGATTTGGGATGAAAGGAAAGACTTTCGTCAAAATACAAAATAGAAATTATTTCAGCCAAAAATTCCCAAATCCATAAAAGAAAAAGGAAAACATAGTGTGTAATGGTTGTAAACCTAGCATATGATAGATGAAATAACTAGTTGTCTCTATGATACACGATGCTGAGTCGCTATCAAAGTAATTAAGTTTTTTTTAAAATTTTGTAGTGTAGAATCAAACCTAGGTCGATTCACGGTGACACATTCTTAGTCAAATTTAATTTTAGGTTTTCTTTTAAAAAAATACAAACAAGGTATTTGGGGTTTCAAAAATTACAAATTAACAAATTGGATTATGAACAGAATAAAATTGAGTAAAAATAAATTAAGAAACATCAATCTACAGAATACCAAATGCGTGTAATTTCGGCTATCACAGTATTTAAAGATTTAAATCCGCGTTGGAACAATCATTCAATTCAATTATTAATTCAATCGAATAACCTAATTGAACAGAGTTATGAATTAAATTAAATAATCACTTAATCTAATCCGCATTAATTATCAAATCAAAGCATCAATCGAGTCCTAATTTAAATTTTATCAATAGAAAAGTTAATCACAATCACAATACATAATTCTGATATTAGAGAGAAAAAGAGAACAAAATCAGACCAATTTAGCGCATAACTCAAGTCAGAATTATAGTGTTTGGATTTCGCAGATTGAATGAGAGGTTTAGCCTTCCATCAAAGTACTTAACCCACGCAAGAATGAGAAAATAACGATAGAGTTCAAGAGAAAGTAAAAATAAAGATTCTTATTTTGGCCAAGTCTCAAAATCTCAAAGTGTTTAATCATCTCCCTTAAATCAAAACCTTATTAGTTAATTTATAAGCTCTGATTAGGGTAAACTAAATAGTCAAAGTTTGGGCCTTAATTATAACTACAAGCCCAAATACAATTATCTAATAACAAATGGTCCAAATGCAATCTCGCAACAACATTCAATAAATCTGTCTAAACTTTAAAAGATCATAAAAAATTGAAATCAACTCCAAATCCAATGATCCATTTATACATTTTGAACCCTAGATATGTAAAATTTAATGCAACTAGAATCAGCCAAAAATGATATATGTAAAAAAAGTTATGGCCAAAAAAATAGTCAGAGGTCAGAATAACTGAAAATATAAAATTAAAGCATTTATTTGTAATAAGTCCAATTTATTCAAATAACTAGAAAATGATAAAAACTCTAAAAATAAAGCATATGAAAAGTGTTTATTAATCAAAATAAAACTATAAATATAAACTTAAAAGTATGTTACATTATTCTGCTGTGCAAATTATACACTAGATGTCAAAATATAGATGTAAGGATGGATTCTTAAATGGTGTTGGGAGAAATGAATTTGTGGTAGACGAGCTTTGATAGGAGTCTCTCAAAAACAAAGGCTGGAAGAAAGGATAGAAGGAAGTGCCAGAACGAAGACAATGAATTTCCACCTTGGTGTTGGGAGAAGTGGATTTGTGGTGATTCTTAGAATAAAAGGTGGAAGAAAATGAAAGGAAGAACAGGATGGTGCATCTGTAACAGAGAGAGTAACGCGAAGAAGAAGGATTAGGTGGGAGAGAAAAGAAGTTTTTTTCAAGCTTTGCTATCTTGTGTTCATATGTATAGTTAGATTTGTGAGATAGACATAAGATGTGTGCAACTGGCTACTTAAGTAAGGTAAACATATGATGTCTATATCTACACTTTATTTGAATGTTGAAATAACATTTTTGTTATTTTCATCTAGTTCAATTGCTAAGGATTCAGATCTAGTGCAGTTAATGTGGGACCTGAATATCCAGTTTTATGCTTACTTAAGTGATTTTAAACTTGCTTAAGCGAATTTGACTTTTCCTTTGTCTCAAACTCTTCTTTCTCTTGTTCTCTCCCCAGCTCCTCCCACTCTCCCTTTTCAACCTCCCACTCTTCCCTTCTAGTTTCCCCTTAGGTTCTCCACTCCAAGCCCTCCTCCTTCACCTCTCTCTTAACTTCTCCCTTCCACTCCCCTGACCCTCACCCTCTATCTCTAAAATAATTTTACATTGAATCTAGAGAGTGATGGCTTGCTTTGGCACTGAATCGGGTTCAGTTTCGATTTGAGAAGCAAGTGGGGGGTTCTTGCTCCTCGTCTTTGCCTGCACCCTTAGGATGTCCAAGAAAGCCATTGCATATAATCGTGGAGCAACCTAAGGTGGAAAGAGGGTGGGGGTGGGGGTTAGATTTTTTGAAGATAGAGGATGAGGGTTGGGGGAGCGGAAGGAAGAAGCTGAGAGAGAGGTGAAGGAGGAGGACTTGGAGTGGAGAGCCTGAGGGAAACTGAGAGGGAAAAGTGGGAGGGGAGGTTAAAAGGGAGGAGTGGGAGGCTGAGAGGAAGGAGTTGGGGAGAGAAAAATTTAGGGCCAAGGAAAAGCCAGATTCGCTTAAGTGAGCTTAAGATCGCTTAAGCAGATGTAAAACTAAATGTCTAATTTTCACATTAATTGCACTAGATCCAAATTCAACTGCTAACATTACATACAGTGTCTATACGAGATACCTCGTTTAAAATAGCATTTTTGTTTTACTGACTAACCTATCAATAAATAAGTTACATCAAAAGTTCAAACTCATTTTTTATCATTATGTTTTGTTCAAATGAAATAAAATATATATAAAAAAATAATTTAAAAAATTGTGAGAAAAATAGATAAAAAAAAATATGTTGTTGAAATATGAGTAAAAAGAACAAAAGAAATTATCTATTTATTTAAATAAATTAAAAAATATTATATTAATAATAAAAGCTTTTAATATATATTTTCTTAATATTTTATTTTTTATTATTTAAAAAAATTTAAAAACAACTACCTAATGGTGAACTTGCCAAAATCTCACCGCTTTAGATGAAAAAACTAAATGACAGGCTCTTTATGAAAAACATTTATCTATTCATATAAAACAAACTTTCAAGAAAAATATATTTTAGGACACTTTTCTTTCTTATAATTTTTTTTCAATAAAAAACATTAATATCAAATTATTATTTTAATGTATGATATATATATTTATAAAATATAAATAAATATTAATCATAAGCAGTTATATATTTATTAATATATGATTTATCTAAAATGTAGGATTTGTTTTTACTAAACTCATAGGTCTATTAATTTTTTTCTTATAACTATATTAATAATAAAGATATTTTATATAAAAAAATATAATAATATTTAATATATTATTTTATTTAACGCGTAGATCGATGAAATTAAATATTCATGAGGAGATTAAGTTGATTCATCGCCTTTTTCTTTGTCCAAGTAATTTTTATTACATACATGTATTTCTTAAAATCATATTAAATTTTAGCTTGCACCAAAACGTAGGAATAATAAATTAATAATATAAGCTTTTTTGTCAAAATAATAAAAATAATTAATTATTAAATTAATATTAAATTTAAATTACTTTTTTGTTTGAGATTTTTTTTGTCACGTCAGATCTCACTTGTAAATTTTCAGTATCGCCCCGAAGGCCCAGACTCGGAACATCGAAAGAAAATGGAACAGCAAAGCTTGGAGACGTCAATGGTTGAACCTTGAGGGTTTAGTTTTCATCTGTGTATTTGACCAGAAATTTTTATGGATTTCGAGCAATCACCACTTAACACATCATTTTATTAACTTTAATATATAAATTAACTATTAATTGTTTGGAAACTCGGATAATGCAAAAATTTCTCTTATTTAATGTATTAGCTAATTGCTACAACCATTTAAGCAGTCCACTTGCTTGATGATATGAAACTATGCTTATTAAAAATAATAGAAAATTCATATATTTTTGTAAATGTAATATTTAATTTGACGTGATAAAAAAATTCAAACAATAAATAATTTAAATTTGATATTAGTTTAATAATTAGTTTTTTATTTTGTATTATTTTGAAAAAAAAACCAATAATATAAGACGTGTTTTACTGATATTGTAAAATTCTAAAACTAAAACCCCAAAGGATACGGTGGCGGCAGCGCCAACCCCTTCTCCAAGCTTCTCTCAATATTATATATACACACATTCATATCTCTCTCTCTCTCTCTCTCATTATCGTCACCTTCTATTGGATCATGGCACCATCCTCAGAAACCATTTCTAGTATCCTTTTTCGTTCTTTTTCAACTTCTCTCTCTCTCTCTCTCTCTCTCTCTCTCTCTCTGTGTGTTTTCTTCTTTTCGTGTCGATTCAATAATTTAACTAAATTCCTTTAACATGCCTTCTGTTTCTTGTTAATATGTGCTATGTGGGGTGTGGGGTGTGGTTGTTATGGTTATGGACGCACTTTGAAGTACTCCAACAATTGAAGCTATTGAAGCCGCTGCTTAGTGCGTGTTTGGACTCACTTCAATTGCAATGAATCTACCTTTATTTTAACTGAACGCTATTAGTTATCCTTTTGCTTTGGATCTTCGTTCAATTTATTTCTAATTACACACTTAAAACAAGTTTACCTCTCTCTCTCTCTCTCTCTCTCTCTCTCTAGTGTGTGTGGGGGGAGTGTAGGGGATCGTTCATAACCACACCTACATCACATTTTTAATGGGTAAATTTATTTCAAAATCTAACAAATTTCTTTATGGTATATATTACATCACTGTAAAATCTTATATTAATTTAAAATTATTCAGCACTTTGTTTATATGTTTCACAAGATTATGTCATGATTTTGAAACGTATGAAAATAAAATTTGTTTGATTATTTTTCTATTTGTAGTTCAATTTTTGAAAAACTTTGGCATTATATTCAAGGTAATGAATAGTTATGATTTAAATTTTAATAGTTAGATTGATATAAAATGTATTTTGCATAATCGATTGAATAGTGTAAGATTGTTTTGCTTGTACTAGTGTAAACCAATCCTATTATAAGAGTCTCTCTTTTAAGCCGCTCAAATTTTTATTAAATATTTCTATTTTTTCCTTTCAATTTCGGTACTATAAGTATCTTTTATGCTTATGAAATGTTTGTTGTTTATATATCAATGACTCTCCTTTACCTTTTTATTATTAGAAGCTGGTGGTTAATAGCGCAACAAACCCTTTTCTGTTCTTTAGGAAAACGTAAATATTCTACTTGGTGTCTATTCATAGGTTCTCTGTAGTGTAACTAATGTTCAGCTGCTCAAGTTCCACCCCTTCCCTTTTTTATTGCAAGTCTATTTTTTATGTTTGAGAAATTGTTCATTCAGTATGAATTTCCTTTACCTTTATAATATAGAAGCTGCAGATTTGTTGCAGAATTTTTCCTTGGATTCCGAGTCCAAGACTGTTCGAGTTCCTGAGCCTGTAAAGAAGGCAAGTATTTTTACTATAGCATCAATGTGTTTGATTTGTTGTGTCATAACTAATTATTTTAGTCTTTGTTTATACAGAATGGACATGGTCCAGCAAATTGGGTGAACAAGCCATTTAATCCTAATGTGTGCTTCATTCCAAATGGATACCCTTCTACTGCATACTATTATGGAGGTGAGGTAAGCTGTTATGACTTCCGAGGTTAATGTGGAGATTGATTGAATAACTTGTTAGTCCTTGCAAAAAATTGACATGGTGATGGGAGTCTCTACAGGTTATGATATGCAAGGTGATTGGAATATTTATTCCACTATGAACCTTAATGGAGGGATGACACAAGTAAGTACTTCTCATTCTGGTAACTAGACTTTGTGATGTTATGTGTGTATTTTTACATTATAATTGGGTATTATTTGTAAATTGGTGTTGAGAAAAATGCTTTCTAAGTTCTATTGGGTGGTGGCGAATTTCTGCTGTATGTTAAGTTCAAAATCAAATGATGGAGGATGCATGTTTCCTGCATCTTAAAACCATGCATGATTGATTACTTTGTGAGGATCTAAATTGTTACATCAGTGTAACATTTCAAGTTTGCGTACTATTACATAAGTATCTGTTCTGTTTCAAATTTTAAATAGCAGTGCATTATTTATGTTTTATATTTCTTGTTGATAAATCCTAGAATTGTTAGTGGATCTACTTGTAGTTGATCACTTTGTTGAGTGTAAAATCGTTTCTCCTGAGGTTGGCTCTTTTTACATTAACACCATCCTTATTCGGGAAATTACACATGTTCTTTGCTTTGTTATTTTTAAGGGATTTTATAGACTATATACATAAAGAAAAGGGGGAGGTATATATAATTTCTTAAAAGGGCACAACAGTACATGACATAAGCGGTGTGGTTGAAATTTTCCAAACAAAAAGGGTGTCTGTGTAAAAAGCACTATCCTCTAGGGAAGTCATTGCATCATTTCCTTCTTTTGCCAATTTTCTTAGATGTGTATTTTCTTATCTTTTTCTTCCTTCTATTGTTGCTAGGATATGATAATGATTTGTTTCTTACTATTTTTAAACAATCAACTATAGATAACTACATTGTTGAAGATAAAACAATCTTATCAGGGTTATGTAATGAATTGAATAACAGGGTGTTTTGGGAGACAGCTGCTCTTATATGTACCACCAAGGATATGGTTATACACCATATGGACCATCTGCACAGCATGATGATAAACCCTACGGGCTGCAACAGTACCTGTACCCTAGTTCTTATTACCAATCCCCAGCTTCTACTGATGGGTTATTTGCTGCTAACAAAATCAATGCTCAACAAGGGAAAATATCAACTGCAGTCAGTGCTGATCATATCCCTTCATTAACTGTTATTAATAAAGGAAGCACCAATGGTGTGGTTAATGAAGATTCTACAAACCACAATGGGTCAAAGAAATTTTTATTAAGTTCCCAGCACTTGTTGAATTCAAACGATACATATCAAAGGGTTGGTTTTCCTGTATATGCTCCTTTGTCAGGATATCAAGATCCAAGAGTAGGTCCTCATGGGACTCAACCAACATTACCTTCAAATCCCTTATTATTTTCTGATAAGCAGTCCAATCATGGAGCAAAAATTGGATTATCTTCACCAGCTGTGCCTGAAAATGACTTTTCCTCTCAAAGGAATGCAACTATTCCTCAGCTATTTCCACAATCCATGGTATATTTGGTCTGTCATCTGGCTTTTCCCTCTCCAATTTTAGCTTGCATTTCATTGTATGGTGTAGTTTATTATCTAAATTTGTCCAAGAAAATTTATTTTATTTTTCTCAACCAACTTTCCATTTATATTATGTTGGGTAAGCCCCAATGGACTGGTTTCTGTTAACTGAGGGAATTAGAGTTAAGTGATTGTAGCTATAATTCTAACAGAATTTGGCAGAGATAGGGAGAGAAGATTAGGGCTGTTTAGTTGGAGAAGATCTCAGGCTTTTGAAATCCAAGGTGGAGCAACTTGTATTGATTCCCTCTCTTTCAAACCTGGATTTATTACTGATCTGGGGTAAAAGAGAATCTCATCAACAAATTTTGATCTTTTCTATCATTCTTTCTGTAATATCAGAACCAGCATCTATCGTATTTATTTCACATTGGATTATGAGTATAACTACTGTTGTGATACATGTTCCGATCATTTCTACTTATTTATCCCACCTTATGGTTGTGATTCCTTGTATACAACCTGTCATACAGTAGATCTGAGTTTTGGTTTTGTGCATGCTATTGTTGATTTGATTGGTAGATCAATTCAAAATTCACCTTAAGCTGCTCCTTGGTGCAGAACTTGCATAGTTCCTTACATTCATCTGGATTTATTAATGGGATGTACCCAAGCAACACAATGCACAGCCAATTTGGAAACGCATACAGAGCTAGTTCTCATTTTGAACCTGCTCCATATGGATGTAGAATAGGTTCTGTTAATAACAAGCTTAAAGCCACAAGTGACAGCCGTGTTGTTGATCATGTCAAAAAAAATATGGAAGGCTTTGATGAGCTGAATAAGGGACCAAGAGCTGGCAATAGTTCTGATGATAAAAGTGTCTTACTCAAGGAACAGAATCTTCCAACCGAGAGTGAAAATAAAGTACCTCTGGTTCCCATTACAGAACAGTACAATGGGCAAGGTTTTTCTGAGAATTATTCTGATGCAAAAATTTTCATCATCAAATCTTATAGTGAGGATGACATTCATAAAAGCATAAAATATTGTGTTTGGGCAAGCACCCTTAATGGCAACAAAAAGCTGGATGCAGCATATCAGGAAGCCAAAGAGAAGCCTGGTGACTGTCCTGTATTTTTGCTATTTTCGGTGAGTTGCTAACTTATAGCATATAGTTGGTAATTCCCATGCTTTCTTGGTTTTATACAAAGCCTCAGTTTTTCCTACCTTTGTTTCTTGGCACAGGTCAATACTAGTGGGCAATTTGTTGGTTTAGCCGAGATGGTGAGCCCAGTAGATTTTGGTAGAACAGTAGAGTATTGGCAGCAGGACAGGTGGACTGGTTGCTTTTCTGTGAAGTGGCATATCATAAAAGACATTCCAAACAGTGTGTTGAGGCACATAACTCTAGAAAACAATGAAAACAAACCTGTTACAAACAGTAGGGACACTCAGGAGGTATTCACTCTGTGGCTTGTTTCATTCACGTGAGCCCCTCCTCCTTTCAACTAACAATGCATATCTATATCCTTCTGCAGGTTAAGTTTGAGAAGGGTATTCAAATACTCAAAATTTTCAAGGAGCATTCAAGCAAAACCTGCATCCTGGATGATTTTGGGTTTTATGAGGCTCGTGAAAAGATGATTCAGGAAAGAAAATCCAAGGAACACCAGTTCTCAAAACAAGTAATACTCACTTTTATGTCTAATACTAAGAACAAGTTTTAGCATTAACATGCTACTGTCAAAAAAAGTTTTGTTTTTTTATTACTATGAACCTTCTAAATGTAGGATACTAAGGTACATTCATGATCATGCCATTTAATTGTTCTTTCCTGCTGATTAAACCTTGCAATTTGTAAACCCTTCTTCTATTACAGGTTAGCCATTCCAATGATTTAACAACAAATGGAACATTGATTAATGAAACAGCTACTACAGATGCAGCTGGAGAAAGGGAGAAGCTAGTAGAAGTGAATGGATCAACTCCAGCATCTGAAGACTTTCCTAAAAGCTGCTAAACCAGTGACGGTGCATGGTTAAAGTGTGGTTTCCAGTATCCCCCCCTTTCCCCCACTTTTTAATTATTTTTCTTGCATTCCTTGAGTATGTAGTAAGTTTTGGTGTTTTCCTATTCCAAGTAAATCAGTTTAGCTTTTTCTTAGTTATTCAAATAACATAGTGCTATTGATATTTTAATAGATATAAGTAATGTAGGAAAATAGTAGTTGATGCAGATATCATGGATGTAGCCATATTGCATGCCTTTTTTTATTTTGAAGAAACGTAAGTCATAAGGTGAAAAATTATCTATATTAGACATGTTTTTGCTCCTTGATTCCTTGTTATCTTTATACAAAGCTAAACCGGAGACAAAGCCGATAAAGTAAACGGAAATGGCTATTTTTACAGGTGTATCATGATTCAGATATATGGATTCATCTTGCTATGTAACCTATGTTTATAACAATTGAATGACTTGATTCACATTTTTCCTTTTTTCCGTCTTTTAGAACTTTGGCTTTCTTTCATAGGGAAAAGGGACGATGGGTTAATCTTTCTAGTTGTTAATCTCAGCCATATCTCTGAATATTAGTTATAAAGGATAAAATCTCTCTTAATCACACAATGATCGGGACCAACGATCTTCTCAATTGTTTGATGCTCAAGCATCCTACTACTATAAGGAGCATTTAGCTGCCACTCTTGTAGCCACTTGCAACCTCCACCCTAGACCAGATACCCTCAAACCTCGAATATTGGATAGAAGAACATTAATGATATTCAAACCTTTAATCTTGAACTGTTACATTAATGCTATTTGAAAAATCATACGCCTGAATCATTTACTTATCGGTAGATTTTTGGTTATTCTCTGGTATGAAAATAAGGTCATAGGTTCAAATATTCGTCATCATCATTGTAAAACAAGGGGATTAAAACATTAAACTACAATATTAGTTGACCCTCTATCAAAACCTTTAATTATATTTGGATGTTTTAATGATTGTTTCGCTATTCATGTTTAAATTTTAAATTTAATTTAGTTCAATATAAAATACATTGCTTCAAAGCTCAATCAATAATTAATATTATCCACTGTGAATACCAATTTAAAAAAAAATTAAAGTTCTAGTTTTTTTTTATTGTTATATTACAAAAGCATAAAAGAAACAATTTTGTTTTAAGAATAACAAAATTGGTCTTAATAAATGCAATAAAATCATATTTGACTTTTCAAAATGAAAATAAAATATTGCAAGAAAAATAAATAAAATAATAATAATACTCACTTTATTCATAAGAAAGGAAGTACTTCAAAAATTTTGTTTGTTTCTAGATGGGGGAGGAGCATACAAAAGGTAGATAAAAGAGAAAGAAAAATTGTTGGGGAAGAAAGAAGTTTTCAGAAGGAGAGCAAAAATATTTAGGACGAGAGCAAAATTTTAAGGGAGGAAATATGAGAAAAGGGAAATACAAAAATGAAAAACTAGTACAACTTAAAAGAACAGAAAGAAATCAGAGATAAAGAAAAAACAGAAATCACACCGTGACTCACTATTTTAATATTTATTCTTCATTGATATTCAGACTCAAAGTTACCCAATTTACATTAAAACACATCCTTTGTAATTACAAAATTTTGAATTTTACACTTAAGAATGAAAGGAAGAGAATTTTGGTACAAGAATGAGATTTTGGTTCACGACGTTATAAAGTCATGTTTTCTTATAATATTATTTTATTATTTCAAATAACTGAGAAGACTTTACCATAGAGAGAGACGAAGGCTTAGAGCAGTTAAATCAACTTTATCCCCTTTCCTTTTCTTTCCTTTCTTTTCGTTGCTTTTTATTTTGGCGTAACAAAATGTAGTTGGATTGAAAAAAAGGATTTATGCTAAAATTATTGTTGGGCTAGGCCCGAACCTTTTTTTTTATTTTTCTATTATCATTACTATTATTATTTTGAAGATATTAGGCTCAGCTAACTAAATCTAAAAATAAATAAATAATTTATATAAAAAACATAGGTAAAATAATATGAAAATAAATATTCTCATAATAATTGTTGTGTTATTATTTGTATTCGGTATATTTATGTATTTGTTAGTTATTTATTCGTTGGTATTATTATTCTTTATTGTATTAATCTTAGCAAACTTAATTTTAAAGTAAAATTCATTTTTGTTCTCTAACTTTTTTTTTTTTCATTTTAGTCTTATAACTTCTAAAAAATTTTTAAAATAGATCATTTTTCGATAAAGATCCTAATTTCTTTAAAAAGTTTTGTCGTTTTGTAGTACATGTACTTCGTGTTACTACTTATCGTCTTCTTCTTTAAATTTCTGATCTGGTTTTTGACACCTTTTTTTTATTCCTTCTCCCTTTTCATTTTCATCTTCTTATACTCAAAACTTCATCTTCTTGACACTAACACCAAACACCAAACACCAACCCCCAAATTTCAAATAATAAATAACTTAACTTTTTAATACCTATTTTCCATCTTCGGTAAATTTGAACACACGTTCCCATTTTTCGTTTTATTGATTTTTCATGCTACCCTGACCTCCCAAGCCTTCATTAACAAGAAAATTATATTCCGGAAGCTTAAAACATAATCTAAAAATAAACACAAACTGTCGAAGATAGAAATTAGAAAGTTAATTTGTTTATGATTTGAGATTTGGGGTGAGTGCTTGGTGTTAGTGATAAGAAGATGGAGTTTTGAGTATAAGAAGATGAAGATGAAAGAGAAAAAAAAGAAGAAAAGCTGCCAGAAACTAGACCGCCAATGATCTAAGGAAAAAAATGATGAACAATAACACACAAGCACGTGGCATAAAACGACAAAATTTTCTAACTGAGTTACGATTTTTATAAACCCTAAACCCTAACGGAAAAGGACTTGTTTAAAAGTTAGAAGATTAAAATGAACCAAAAAAAGTTAGATGATGAAAGTGAATCATATCCTAAAGTTAAGAGACGAAAAGAGTAATTTTGCTTATTAATTTTAGAAGGTTAATGTAATTTGATTTTGTATTCATATTTTGACATTCTCTTATTTCATAATTAATGGATTTCATTTTAAATAAATAATTAATATAATATTTACATCAATTTATAACACTAATATATAATCATGTATTATGAGTTGATAAATCTTACATATATTTATGTTATCTACACTTTATACAATAAGAATTTAATACATTTTTAACTATAATGAATTAAATAAATATTTTTTAAATGATCAAAATATTGTTATTTAGATTTTTTTCTTAATTATCAAATTATTAATTGATTCATCGAATTAAGCTAATAATTATTTTAATGCAACGATTGTAACATTATTGTATAGCATCTCTACTTTTACACATTTTAAATCTTCAAAACTTTTATATATTGACATTACCTTGAGTGTCATGCAATTACAATATAAACTTATGAACTGATATTTTAATTAAAAATTATCTTCATTAATCAATTCAAATATATTTATTTCTTTCATTAAATAGAAATAACTTCATATTTTAAATTTTCTTAAGTTATTTCTAATTTTAATAAATTAAATAATTAAACATTTAATTCCTGAATTTTATTTTTTTATTTTATTATATATTTTTTTTTGCAATATCATGTGTAATTTACATTATTGTCTAATAAATTATAAGAAATTTATGCATAACTTATGTTAATATATAAGATAATTATTAGATGTTACAAGGTATTAATATTTTTTTTCTATACGTAAACAACTTTGAATGATTTTTTTTTCAAATGTCATTTCTAAAAGTTTTTTCAAAATTTTTTTAAATAAATTTTAGTGGTAAATCTTTTTATTTAAAAAAAATATATTTTATTCATAAAAAATATTTTTTTTAATATGTATGATAGTCACATATACGAATTTTCCACTAAAGAAAATGTCTAGAATTCAACGAGGATACGTGAACATATGATCACAATTTTCGCATAGATAGATTTAAGTTTAGAAGCGTTAATTTGGTCAAAGAGGAATTTGATTCAAGATCTTTGATTCAAAAGCTATTTTCTATTCACAATGACAAATTCAAATATATAATTAAGTAATTAACAATCTTAATCAAGAATCCATATAAAAATCCTAGCCTTGCTGGCTTGTCACCTCACAGAAGCTTGGAGAAGGGACATGCAGCGAGCTTTTCAGAAGGACAACCTTGGCATTACGAAGCCTCCGCCAACATTAGAAAAGCTCTTTTCCTTGTCGCTGAACCTTTGAGCATTTACTTTCCTTCTCGCTCTTTCCCTTTTACCAAATAAGATACAAGAATTTTGAACTAACTGAGTTTATTTGGAAAATAAGAAATGATCTTTTTTTCAGATTTTTATGCGCCATGTACTTTAAATTAAGTTACTGATAAACAACTCCATAGTCTTACTTTACAAATAAACTCATTTTAAATTATTCTAATATAAGAATCGTAGATTTATATAATATGTAGTTTGATATCATCTTTTTATTTAATTTATTTTACTGACTGTTTTATATAAATTAAATAAAAAAATTAAATCGAGTATAAGTCTCTAAAAATTTCAAATGACACAAAATTGATAATGACTTTAACTATTAGGAATTAAGATAAAATTTTCCACTGCTAAATTTACACGTGTATCTAATATGAATTATTTCATTACAAAATTAGGTGTTTAAGGGAAGGATGATTTTCTCGTTTTTATAATATGTTTTTTTGTTAACGTTCTCTCCGTATGCGAAAGGATTAGTTTCGTATCATTCTCGTTATAATAAACTCCTTCAAATACTAATTAAAAGATGAGAATATTATCACTTTTTTTTTATTTGTTTATTTATATCACTTTTAATTGATTGCTTAAATTATTTTATGTTTCATTTTGGTGTACTTAAGATTTTTACATTATCAGCCAATTAGAATATATAAATATGAAAATAGATTTTAAGTTTTAATATGTTAATGTATAATTGCAAGTAATAAAAACCTGTCTTAAAATTAAAGTATTTGTTTCACATTGTATTTTGATACTTTTTAAAGAAATTTATGAAAGACATCTTTTGAATAAACTTAAAGCAACATTTATTAAAAAAAAAGTAAATCATTAAATTTAAAGGCTAAAGCTATCATCCATTTATAAAGAAGAATAAGTAATTTATTTTGTCAAATATTTTTTATAAAAATTAAAATTTATAATTTTAAAAAGGTAAATTTTCTAGTGTCTTCATATTTGAGAGAATATTTTTTATCCATATACAAAGTTATGGACATAAGTTAACCTAAGTTAATAATTAAATGCTACCTGAGTGAACTACCATAAAGAGTTAATCAACAAATATAAACTATTGTTGTAACCTAATAAAAATGAGTTTGAACAATTTGCAATTTGTTTCTTTGTTAAAATAATGAATATTGCCTTGTCAATTTGTAATATCTCTATGATGTCATGACTTTTTTTTTAAGACGAGGACAAAAAATAGACTCAATTTCTAGAATTAGAAGTTCTCTCTCATAAGGAAAAGAAAAATACGGATGAACAAAATGCAAAGTATATATATAAGAAGTTGAGAGTGCTAAACAAAATTTTAGTTCATCATTTATGCCAAAGAACATTGGGGTCAATAATGGGATGGTACTGAAAAGAATTGAAATTGGTATTTTAGCGAAGCTTCACTTGAGCTTTTTCATCATATCCTTGAGTTTATGTCCTATCAGGATCTCGTTTCTTTTGTACTGTGTTGCATTTGACAAAGCATTGTGGCATCACTTGTTCCTATCATGTTCACTATTTATTGAGCAAGGAATATAATAAAATATAGTAAATTTAACTGTGAAGAATGCTTTGAATTGGTGACACATTTCTTAATGTTTAACTGCTAATACATGGCAACAACTCTAAATAATCTATGGATTTAGTATATGCCTCCAAACAAAGCTCCTTAAGCTCATGGAGTTGAAGTTTTTGTTCATCACTCGCCTTATCCATAGACATGTGATAAGCTTTCACCGCTCAATATGCTAGATGATCTATCTCAACTGGAAGATGACACACTTTACTAAAGATAATCTAGTAGGGAGACATCCATATAGGTGTCTTATAAGAGGTCCTATATGCCTATAAAGCATTATATAGGCTTCGACCCCAATTCTTCCTATTTGGTTGCACCACCTTTTCTAAGATTCACTTAATCTCCCTATATAAAACCTTTGCTTGTTCATTAGTTTGGGAATGGTAAGTTGTCAAAACACTATGCATAACTCCATACTTTCAAAGCAAAGCTTACATGGATTTATTACATAAATGAGTACCTTGATCACTAATTATGGCTCTAGGTATGCCAAGC